GTAGATAGTGTTGCACGAACACTAGTACCACGTATGCCATGGCATGATGAAGCATTGGTTGTATTTGGTCAAACCGCTCGAGATGTTGCAAGACATTTTATTCAACGATGGAATATTCATAAAGTTAGTTAAGAAAAACGATTTACTTGCATTTTGCCACATGCATTCATAAACAAAGGGTGTCGAATCAGATAGGATCCATTCTATATGTAAACTTTTTTTTATAACCAATTACTTTATTACCAAAATGATTGATTATCATCTGAGTTGATAACTAAGTCAGTAAATCTGTTGCTTGATCGAAAAGCTGTTAGATCAATCTCTACTGAATTAAAATGTGAAACACAATGTAGCTGTTGTTACTAATCATGTGCATATTATTTTCTTGGATATACTTTGGTACCTATGTATTCAACATTTTTTACTTAATCCTCTAGGACGGCAATACGAAAGCAGTTATTTTATTCAGATGAAATTCTAGTGATATATAATCGCTGATTTTGTATGAAATGATCTGTGAAGGAGAGAATCGGGTCCCAATTTCTACCTTACGTAATTCAACACTGCATTCAGATGGTGTTTTACAAAGCAGATACGAATAGATGAAGATTTCATAGTGATCGGAGAGTTGGTCTCATGGTGTGGGTATACAGAAGACAGTTATAGCTTGCCTAATTCATACTCAAATTCTACTGTTTTCAACTCAAATCCATATCGGGACACTCACAGTAACACATACAGCGACAGCCACACTCCAAACATAAATATATGCGCACCACACATTTCCATCTATTTAAATAATCTGATATATGTTACATTATTTAAGACATGAGAGTAGACTTTCTAATATGATATATTGACTAGCAACTTCTTTTTTCATAAGAAAACATGTTGCAACTTTTTTTATTCTAGGACGATTTGTCCTAGCGTTGCCATCTGTTGGCAACTATCTGATCTGATCACCAATTCAGAGAGTAATCAATCACTTTGATAATGAACTAATTAATTGTTTGGTTATCGATTTATTTGCTAAAAATAGAAGTTACCAGAAAAACGAGAAAATATTTTTCAAATTTTAACGTTATATTTTTTTTTCTTAAGTGTGAAACATATCTGAAAAATGATTCTTATCCATTTTGATTACCTAAGTCTTATAATGATGTTGAAGACTTAGCTGTTGAAAACTGGAGTGATTTTCTTGAAAGTGAACCATTTCGTGTAAATGCTCAGGTAAGTTATTATTTTTAGTTAATATTCATTTTAAAAATTATTTTCACTCGAATTTTGTATATAGTGTGTTCGTTCAGTTGGACCATGGTCAGCGGGAACGAAATCAGAGGAATCATCGATTCATAATACTTATATACAAATGATTGATGCTGCCAAACATTTTATATATATTGAAGTAGATAAATTTTAAAAAAGAAGTACAAGTTTTGATTATAATTTCGTATTTAGAATCAATTCTTTATTACTATTGCTCAAGACTCAGTAGTTCGAAACCAATTAGCTAATGTTCTTTTTCGACGTATAGAACGAGCACATAAGTATGATGTATTTCTTTTTATTATATTATAACATTTAAAAAAATTTCTTTTGTTGATTAGCAATGCTGAAAAGTTTCGTATTTATGTTGTTCTTCCTCTTCTACCTGGTTTTGATAGCACGAATGCTGTACGAGCTGTACTCTATTTTATTGTGTTCAATTACTAAGGGTGATAATTCATTATTTAAACGACTTGAAAATGCAGGTAAATCAATATTTTAAACATAAAGATCAGTGGTTTTTTTAAATATATCATTAATACTTAATCTTAAAACTCTATGACAATAAGCGTTTGTCGTTCGTGTTACTTATTTAGGTATTTCACCAAAGGATTATATTAATTTTTTTGGT